ATCGACTACAGTCAAATCGACGGTAAGCAGTTACTGAAGAATGTGTGATGCTCTCGCCAGAAGTAGCGTACTCCAGGCCTCGGGAGATTCTAGGCAATCGTCTTGATCAGCCTCATATCAATGCACACTCCTTACTTGGAAGCCTGTTCCGATTGGCAGGACAGACCACTGGAACAGCCAAGTTTCTGTCGGATTTGTGTATAAAAATGAGGAGCTGTGGGATTGCGCTAACGCAGATGCGTTTTGTCTCAGATTTGCACTCGCTTGCCGTTGTAAAGAGAATTGTGCGTTCTCTTCCCCCGCCAGTGCAGCACCAATGGGCTGAGGCGGCAGATAAAATATCGATGACTGGCCGGGACCCAACGTTCACTGACTTTGGACAGCTGGCTCGAGAAGGTGACGTAAGGCGCCACCCTGTGTCGTTAATTTTCACCAACCAAGCTGCTGGACGGGATGGCTCCACGAGTTTCCTAACCAGCATAAGACCAGGCGCAGACCATGGTACAAGGCTCTGCTCACTGTGTTCACAGCCTCACCCAGTGTTTTCTCTCCATGTAAATTTCTGATAGGTAGAAGTGCGTACAGGATCGTGATGCATGTTTTGTTTGCTCGGAAGACTAACACATGGCTAGAGATCGCAAGTCAATTGCTCACTGAGGGCAGTCGGGTTGTAGGGGGCGACATCACAGGTTGTTGTATGCATTGAAACCCGGAAAAGAGGCAGGGGCAACTTCANTGGCAGGTTAGTTTCCTCAGCTGGTAAAATGTGTAATTTAAACACCTCTGACGATCGTCCCACAATCAAAACATGTTCAGTTTTGAACCTCAAGTCTCTTCTGCCTTATGAACAAGTTTAACAGACAAACGGTATCTTCGAGTGACGCGCAATACCAGAACCTCCGGGAAGGTAAAGCAAACTCGACTGAGCTTCCATACGACACTATTAATGTAGGACATCAATGCACAGTAGACCTTGACAGTAGATGCTCGTCCACGACAAATGGTACCAACCAAATGAGCAAACAGGCTTCCACGTGAGACAGTCAAGCGCGCATGAGCTCGGCCGTAAATTGGCTGGATGACCTCAAGGTCAAACGAGTGAAATGGTAGGGACAAATAAACACCAGTTCATACGCACGCACTAAACACAAAAGTGGAGCGGGAGTTACAAATATGGACAGAGGGGGAGTTTCAAATCCCAAAGTAGCGGACGGCGCATCGCTCGTTGAATTCTCCACGTTAACTCAGGGGGCGCCCCAGTTCTTGCACTCTACCTATGCTCAGCTCCACTCTAAGATACCGACACAAACGGTCCGTGTCCACTCCGGCTACTAGTCCCGGCCTCGATAGAGTACAATTCACATCGCATCTCTCAAGTAAACATATTTCTCTGATATCCCTCTTGAGAGCGCTGCCCGCCGTTCTGATATGGGGGTTCTTACCAAGCCATCTGAGCTCGCCTGTCAACCATCTGCTACCACTAAAAGTCGTTTTTCACGAGGCACATTTCCACCAGGAGATAGCGTCTCTTTCCCCACCTCGACTGCTTTAGGCCATAGATGTTGATTGTGACGTAGGGACCAAGCTACAACTTTCTGTAGCTTCACCCAACAGGAAAACCGGGCTATTAGTAGACATGCCATCATTTCGCTGGAGTTGGCTAACACGTGCTATGAAGCTCTTCAAATTGATCCCTTCTGGCTGCGTCAGTCGAGTCTGTGGAGGCCAATTACTTTCTANCTGGTGGATGACCAAGATCCAAACTGGTGGCAGGTTAGTCTCCTCAGCTGATGAAATGTGTAGTTTAAGCATCTCTGACGATCGTCCCATAATCAAAACATGTTCAGTTTTGAGCTTCAGATTTCTTCTGCTGCGTGAACAAGTTTAACAGACAAACGGTATCTTTGAGTGACGCATAATACCAGAACCTCCGGGAAGGCAAACAAAGTCGGCTGCGTTTCCAAACGGCACTATTAATGTAGGACCACTTCACAAAATATACAAACCTTGACAGTAGTCAAATGTTACCAACCAAATGAGCAAACAGGCTCCCATGTGAGACAGTCAGGCGTGCATAAGCTCGGCCGTAAATTGGCTGGATGACCTCAAAGTCAAATGAGTGAAGTGGTAGGGACAAACAAACGCCAGTTCATACGCACGCACGAAACACAAATGTGGAGCGGGGGCTACAAAAAGGGACAAGAAATGTGGGGGGTTTAGAATGTCAAAGTAACGAACGATGCGCCGCCCGCCAAATTCTCCACGTTGACTCAGAGGACACCCCAGTCCTCTTGCAGTCTGCCTATGCTTATCTCCATTCTGGGGTACCGACACGAATGGTCCGTGTCCACTCCGGCTACTAGTGCCGACCTCGATAGAGTACAAGACCGATCGCGTCTCTTAGGGAGACATTTTTCTGATATCCCTTTTGAGAACGACGCCCGCCATTCTGATATGTGGTGTCCTTACTAAGCCATCTGAGCTCGCCTCTCAACCATCTGCTACCACTAAAAACCATTTTTCACGATGCACATATCCCCACCTCGAGTGCTTTAAGCAATAGATGTTGACTGCAACGTAGTGATCAAGCTACAACTTTCTGTAGCTTCACCGAACTGGAAAACCGGGCTATTAGTAGACACATGCCATCATTTAGCTGGAGTTGGTTAACACGTGCTACACAGCTCTTCAACTTAGTCCCTTCTGGCTGCGTCATTCGAGTCTGTGGAGGCCAATTACTTTCTAGTTCGAGTAAAAATCTTGGTCCAGTTAACCATCCACGCAACGAACTGAAACTGTATGTCCCTCGAGAGGCAACGTCGGTTGGATTGTGGATTGCACTTTACGTGTCTGCATGTGACGACATGTCAGTCAATTTGCTTGGAAACCTTTAAGCATTGATCAGCTCCAGAAATATCGGATTAAACTAGAAGTTTAACTCTAGCGGGCTCTGCGCGAGGCACAGGGCAAACCGGAGCTATCTAAAATTGATCTGTTGGCCACAGAGGATTCATCCTAATATGCATTATTATTATAATGAAGTTTGAGAACCAGTAGCCCCAAATGACCGGGTAACGCAGCACCTGAAACCCTGTCAGATAGATCAAAGACCCCTATGATATGTTGATGATATTAGACTGTCATCTCTGGGTCCAATACAGGTCATTTCCATCACTTCAGTGACAACTCCTGCGGAACTACCCATGGTAGAACTATCGTACTTTGATGGTAATCCAAACCATTACTGAAGGAACATACACTAGTTCAAGATATATATTGAGATCAAAGTGGAGATCGCCAGTCGGAGGCTCCTTTATTTGGTCGACTACGGTCAAATCAACGGTAAGCAGTTATTGAAGAATGTGTGATGCTCTCGCCAGAAGTAGCGTACTCCAGGCCTCGGGAGATTCCACATAAAAACCATGACTGGATAAGGCTATATTTTGCCTCTCCCTTGAGCTCGGGGTCTACCCAGGAGGATCACACTGTAGGTCGAGGAACGATGAGGCGTATCGTCCAAACTAGTCTTTATCTCTGGACGGGTCTCCAGAGAAGGTTATTGATCGTTGGAGGATTTTGATAGTATAGACGGATTCAGTGCATCGAATGTGAGGAAATCATTCAGCTGTAACATCCTTCCGGTGTCT